TAAGGAGCCCTGAGTTCATTTCTGATTTTTTCAATAAAGAGCTCAGCTGAAACAAATACCCAGTCCTAATGCCCCCTCCTGAAACTGGTGAAACCCCTCCCAGAGCAAACTCATTTCATAGTTTCCCGGCCCTGGTTTTGCATCATCCACTGCAGAGGAGGGCCAGCTGGGCATGTGCTCTCCTCTCTGATCTAGCTGTGAGCTATTTGGGGCTGAGATCGGGTCTTTCCCTTTTGACCTAGCCTGCTGCCATTAAACCCCATCAACATGCCAGTGTTGAGTGCCTATTGCATGCCAGACCCTGTGTCCTAGGCCCTGGGAGCACTGCATTAACCAAGACGCAGCCCTGCCCTCAAGCGGTCTGGACTGGGTAACTCTTGGTTGTGAGGGGTTGTCCTGTGTATCGTGGGATGTTTAGCAGCATCACTGGCCTCTCCAACTAGATGCCAGTGGTATTCCCTCCCTCCAATCTGTGACCCTCAGAAATGTCTCCAGACGTTGCCAAATGTCACCTAGGAAGCAAGATAGCTTCCGAGTGAGGGTAACAGCTTGGGGACTGGGTGTCGACAATCAAATCAGAGAGGACTCAGGGAGCACACTGCAGTGCCACCGCCCCCATGGCTAGGAACGGACGGGCAGAGGGATGCAGGTCTGGCTGTGGGGCTATCAGGGATGCGTCATGGAAGAAGGGGCTATTTAAGTTGAGCCTTGGAGCTGGGCAGACCCCTGGGAGAACTGACAGTAGTATGGAGGAGGAAAATTGAGGTAACTCTTACCAAGCAAAACTGAGGAGACATAAGCTCATGCTCCTGCAGAAATAATTGGGCTTGGCTGGGTGCCGTGGCTCACACCTGTAATCCCAGCACTTTGGGAGGCTGAGGCAGGCAGATCACGAGGTCAGGAGTTTGAGAGTGGCCTGGCCAACATGGTAAAGCACCGTCTCTACTAAAAATATCAAATAAAAAAGCCAGGCTTGGTGGCAGGTGCCTGTAACCCCAGTTACTTGGGAGGCTGAGACAGGAGAATTGTTTGATCCTGGGAGGCGGAGGTTGCAGTGAGCTGCATGAATAAAAACTCAGACCTTGGCGATGACCTTGAGCAGTAGGAAGTAAATAACTCCCACATGCTTGGCATTCCAATAATGGAACTCTAGGCAGCAGTGCTTCCTTTTCTTACCTACCAGGAGTCGGATTTCCAGAGTCATGGTGAGTACTTAATGAGAGTTAGTTTGAGGAGCATCTGTAATGGTGCCTGCTTCCTCTTGCTATTCCTAAACACTCATTAGCAAGAAACACTAATCCAGAACCATGGTTTCGTGTACCCCAGACACTAAAACCTATTAATTCAAGCTCACAAAAAGTTGCCCAGGTAATTTCTTCTGATGGATATTTCCAGATGGAGAGAGTGCTCTCTCTGTTGCCTGCAGCAGCTGAAAAGATAGACACTTTCCCCAAGGCTACCTTGCCATGCCATTGAGAGGATTTGGAAATCTGTTTGGGGCCCCCCATTGTCTTCAACTGAACTGCAGAGATTTAACTTCACTGGTGTTAAAAAGGATAACAGGCATTAAATTAAGATCATGCATCTTTGCTATGTGTTTGCTTAAAAACAAGACCTTTTCCTCACCCCACTTCAGAGATTTACTTCCTTCTCTAGTCCCCAAAGAGGTGAACTCTCTTTACTAGATTTTCTGAACTGAAATGGAGTAGCCATTCTTATCTCAGTGATTTCACTAGGTGCTGATGAGAACAGAGCAAAATCCCAGGGGACACCAGGTCTCCTGATGTTAAGCTTAGATGCAATGAGGTTTTGGTTGCTTAAGAACATTCTATCTAAACTGTGTGTTTAATACCAATTGTTGGCTGCTCTATTTCTGGTCCTTCACAGGACTTTCTGCCCCTTTTAGCTGTCCTCTCTGCTACTGCTTCTTGATGGCTTGCTTTGCAGTCCTGTCATTTTGTAATATCCTCCTAGAAAAGGATTAGCAAAATTACACAGTGTTGCTGCTACTTAACATTCAGGAAATGCAACATAGGCATGCAAGTTATCAATCATTCTTACCAGATGGTAAATGTATCTCTTTTCACCAGAAATTGAGCAGCAAACATTCAAATTCATCACCAATACAACATTTACATTCACATCCATTTTCAGTTTGACACTCTTAATGAGTTGGTATAATGAAAATCAATATTTTATCCCTATATTGTTGACTATTTGTAAGTTACAATAATGCAGATGTGGGATTAAAAAATTTTCATTAAACAAAATCTCACCACTATTTGCACTTTTATATATTCTGTATCTATACTTTCCACCGCAATACCCCAGAGTTCTGCATTCAGAATGAGCTAATGAAAATGGCGTACGGGTAAGAAGAATAAAAACCTAGAAGTTTATGTTTTTGTTTTTTAACCACTGCTTAAATTTGGTGGCTACCTTTTGTTAGTTCATTACAAACTTTGAGAGCAGAGTTCTCTATTTATTCAAAGGTACCATGAGGCAACTGACACCAATGGTGTGAAAGAGTAAAATTTTTTTTTTTTTGAGATGGAGTCTCACTCTGTTGCCCAGACAGGAGTGTGGTGGTGCAATCTCAGCTCACTGCAACCTCTGCCTTCTGGGTTCAAGCGATTCTCCTGGCTCAGCCTCCCGAGTAGCTGGGATTATAGGCATGCACCACCATGCCGAGCTAAGTTTTGTATTTTTAATAGAGACGGGGTTTCTCCATGTTGGTCAGGCTGGTCCTGAACTCCTGACCTCAGGTGATCTGCCCACCTTGACCTCCCAAAGTGCTGGGATTACAGGCATGAGCCACCATGCTCAGCCTGGGTAAATTCTTGATGCTTTAATGGCTGAGCCAGGGAGCTCTGTATTCTGAGTCCCAAGTCTAGATTTCTGCCCAACTAATGTTCCCTAGAGATTTCTGAGTTATGGTCTGCACTGATTATCATCAAATTAAATGGCAACCCTTTGAGTGGTTGTTACTGGCTCAACTGTGTCCCCCTCATCACTCACACGTTGAAATCCTAACTCCCTGGCATCTCAGAACGTGACTGTATTTAGAGAGAGGCCTTTAAAGTGGTAATTAAGGTAAAAAGAGGTCACATGAGTGGGCCCTAGACACAGAGAGCACAGTTGGAGACAACCGTGAGGATACAGCAAGAAAGCACCATCTGCAAGCCACAGTGAGAGGTCTCAGAAGAAACCAAACCTGCCAGCATCTTAATCTTGGACTTCAAGCCTCCAGAATTGTGAGAATACATTTCTTGTGTAAGCCACCCAGTCTGTGGTATTTGCTATAGCAGCGCTAGCAAGCTAATACAGTAGGGTCCAGATTGGAGGAAAATGCAGAATTTACACTGTATTTTCCTCATAATGAAGGATATATATTATTAATTAGGGCTCATTTGTTGCAAGTAACAGAAACCAAATCTAGCCAACTTCAGCAAACATAGGAATTTATCCTAAGGATACAGCGGTATCTCATGGAACCTGAGCGGAATACAGCTGGCCTCAGAAGTGCATTGGATCCAGGGCCTGGAGCATTGTCAAGATTCTGTTTTTCATCTCTGCGTCTCACTGTGCATCTGCTTTAGTTTTTTAATCCATCCCATTTTGAATTCCTGGGGAAAAGACTGATTGGCCGGCCAGCTTGAGTGAGGGGGACTCGCCCCTCGTCTAAGTCATGGCCAGAGGAGGCAGGATCACAGGCACACAGTGGCCGCCAGAGCCTGTGGATATGAAGGGAAGAAGCACTCATCAGACTACTCATCAGTTAAGTTATCTGGAGTATGGAGGGCCCACCCCCTCTCAAGGGCAATGGGGAGATGAATATGAGATGCTCAGTGCACTAACACAGAACAGCCAACATATTACCAGTTTGGCCACAAGCAGCAAAATCAAAGCAAGAGCAGCTGGAGACCTCATTCGGCTCAAGACTGCTTGCAACCTTATGGCCATTTCCCAACTGAAGACGGTGGAGAAGGAAAAGCTGCCAAGAATATTGATTAGTAGCCTGTCAAAATCTGTGCACCCATCAGCTGGAAAAAGTTGATTGGTGATCAATTGTAATTCCATTATATAAGTGGTACAGAATGTTTACAGTCCAAAAAATACTGTGCAGTGAAACGTAACATGAACCCAGACTCTGGTCTCTGGTTTTATGTTTGAAAGGCTAAATCACTACCCTCTGAGAAGGCAAACATTAAATAATGCAATTGTTCTGAAGAGGCAAGTAGAGGAAAATATATGAGAAACAAACTCTCAAATAAAACTAGTTAAAAAATGGTTACCCAGATTTAATGAGCATGGGAAAGGCCATCCTCTCACCTGGCATGGGCACCTGTTTTGTTTTGTTTTTAAAGACAGTTTCACACTTGTTGCCCAGCCTGGGGTGCCAAGGCATGATCTCAGCTCCCTGTAACCTCCACTTCCCGGGTTCAAGTGATTCTCCCGCCTCAGCCTCCCGAGTAGCTGGGATTACAGGCATGCGCCACCACACCCAGCTAATTCTGTATTTTTAGTAGAGACGGAGTTTCTCCATGTTGGTCAGGCTGGTCTCAAACTCCCAATGTCAGGTGATCTGTCCACCTTAGCCTCCCAAAGTGCTGTGATTACAGGCGTGAGCCACCGCATCTGGCACATGGGCAGCTGCTTTTGCTCAGGTTACTCCCTCCTCTTCTTCCACCAGGTCTCCACTGCTGGAACCCCAGCTTAGGCTCTGTCTCTTCCATAATACCTTCCCTGAGTACACAATTTAGCATTTTCTTTTTCTGAAAGTGTTTAGCATACATTGTTTCCCCTTGTAGACTAAGGCTCCTTAGGATTAAAGCCCATGCATACTCTTTGTTCCCACACATTATCTGAGAGGGCCTGGTATGCCTTTGATGAACAATATTTATTGCCTGACTTCTCGTCAGAGGTTGAACAGGAAATAGGCAGCAGTCTGCTTGCTGGGCTCAAATAACCTTTGAATAATTTGAGGAGAGAGAGAAATATCCAGGTATATTCCTTTTAAGATAAAAACTTTATTTTACAATTTTATAAAGCGCCTTTACATTAAGCACAAACAATCCATTTACTTTGTATAGAAACAAAATACTTTTCCATCTGCAAAAAATCAAGTTTTGCTGTATATAAAACTAACATGTGCACATTGTGCTTAAACTGCAAAGTCTGTACAGCTTTACAAAGGACTACCCTTCAGAAGGGCATCCTGTAAACACATTATTGCATATTTGACACATGGTATATAACCCACATGTACAATGGAAGAGAAACAAGGAAAACAATCACAAGGAGGATGAAAATAGCAGCTTTCAGTGAGAGTTCGCACTGAAAAAGGAAAAGGACTGCCACATCTGGAGAGTTGTGCTTGTGTCTTTTCGCATTTGCTTCTGTACACTGGATGGTTCTTGGATGAAGCCTTTATGTACAATAACTCCTAAAAGGTCAAACTTGACCTTCATCCAGAAACTTTTGGCTGGTTTTACAACTGAAGTGGCAACAGATTTAACATCAAAGTGAACTCAAGATAAGTGGGAAAAAATCAAACAAACCTAGTACCTATAATATTAAAGCAAAGAAGAAATGAAACAATAACATGTAAAAAATACCCTCCCCATTCTCTCTAAGCTCAGAATAAGTAAACATTTTACATAATTTTAAACCCTAGAAAACTCTGTAGTTTTTTAGAGGCAAAAATGCAATGGATAGTCTAGGGCAGTGTTCCTCCCTGTATGCCCCCAGCTCACCTGCATCAGAATCACTTGAATGCTCATTAAAAATGCAGACTATCATACTTCACAGGCAGATTTACTGACTATCTGGGATCTGCATTTCAATAAGCTCCCAGTGATGCTGAGGCATTTTCAAGTTTGAGAACCACTGGTCGTACCAACAATGCTGCTATGGGTTCAACTCATCCTCTTAGAAAATTCTGGGATCACAGACAAATCAAGTTGCTGTTGCAATGTGGAAGGCAGTGTAAAGCCAACAGCAAGGAAATTGTAACGTTATTTCTAGATCAAAAGTCTTTCCTTCTTCAGCGGGAATGGACAGCCACATTGTTAAGGCACTGATATTCAACACAGAAGCAGTACCATACTGTTATTATTGATTCCTATAATCTGAAGACCAGTTTGCAAACAAAGCAGACGTAGGAACCATTCTAAATAATAACAAATATGGGGAGTAAAATAGGTTCCCAGATTGGAGAAAGTTTATTTTGAACATTGCCACTGGGAATAAAAATTAAGGGAGACCAGATATTCTTGCTGAGATATCTAACATATATGAAATGCAAAAGTCAAAGGCTAGGGGTAAATCTAATAACTCAAAAGTGTTTTTACTGTGATCAAAATTAAGAGGAATGTGGTCACATAAATTGGGAATTCAAGCTTACTTTTCTATGGCCAGTTTACTGTCTTCAGTGCAGATCTATATCTTCTTTGCTTCTGCCCCCTTTGATGCTAACATATATGTGTATATATATTTTCCAGTTTCTAAGGAGTGCTTGGTAGGTTGAATTCAATTAAAATATAGTGTGTAAGAAGGTAACCTACCTGGCTCCTAAATGTGTACTTGATATAGGTCACAGATCAATGCACTGTGTTTGTCAGACTCAGTCCCCTGCAAGTACAGGGATCATATTTTCAAACTCTGTAAGATACAGTATTGATTTAGTGTACTGTCATACCCTAAAACAAAAGTCACAGCAAAATCAACATCCCATGGTTTTAACTTAATGCCTGAAGCCCTATAGCAGACACTGCCCATTGCATGAGGGCTCCGAAATCTACTTATGTGAGGTACAGGAGGATATACATAACCTAAATAAAGATATGATTACACATGTATAGCAAATGCAGTACCAGTAACATCTCTTCTATCTAATAACTGGAATAATTCAAAATTAAATTTCAAAAGAAACGCCAATGATGCAGAGGCTCAATGGTTTGGAAAGCTGATGATCAAGAATGATCTGGGTAGGAGAAGAAAAAAAAAGCTTTGCTATGATTCGTGTATGTAGTATCTGACCTAGTATTTTTATTTAAAGGGGGAAAAATCCTAAAAAAATTAAAAATGGTGGTGGCCTTAAAACTACTAGCTCCTTTCCAAATTTAGATTTGTAGTAAGTTTCCCAAATAATGTTCCAAAAATGTCTCTCTCAAAATATACAAAATTCCAAGGTGTAGTCTGAAATAAAATACAAAATTCTAGATAGTGACAAAAAGAAACTATCACGACGAGGCTTGGGGAGGGATATAGTGATTATCAAACTTTTACTGATTGTAGATCAAGTTTCAAAACAGAAACATCTTTGTAATTTCTTGTGCAGTCAACAAGTTTCATTTTAGTTGTGCTTACATTATTTAACTGTGAAGCCTGAACACTGGTTGTGTTTTTAATTTACACATTTCAAGAAAACCATAATTAAATATTCACCATATACAACAAATTGAACAAATGCAACAAATACTCATTTGCTCCCAAGAAATTAATCTATAGAAAAGAAACATCTTTTTAAAAAGTTGAACACAGTCCACTATCCAGGCTACAAGTACATATTTACTGTTTTACAGCACATTATTTTTCTTAAGTCTGCTTCCAACATAAATATAAATAATCACATTTTAAAAGAGCTCCATACCTAGTCTTCAGGTAAGTGCTAGACAGTTGGCCAGTAACAACTACTTACCATGATCTTTCTCACACAGAGTGACTAGACTATCTGTGGAACCGCATAGGGTGGTGGGCAAGGCAAAGTGAAGCATCTTTGTTCAGCCCACTGATTAAACATTTTGTTCTAAATGCCACCTACATTTCTAAATACCCAACCCATGGAATGCAATTATTTTAGAAGACTGGTTATAAGGATCACTTATCACTTCGATAGAATCCACAAAAACCCAGTACACAACCTTTTAAAATGTGCCTATGCTCTCCTGAGACAGAGCCTGTAGTTTCTGTGTACAGCAGAGGCTGAGTATAATTTTGGTTGTGAGCTCTAGTTGTGCTTTGCCCTGCTGCCTTTTAGGTAGCTTTTCCACCTCTTGACAAATTCTTTGAAGATTGGGGACTCATCAATGGTACTGAGTAGCTGCAACTGATTGATGTGGGTGGTATGATAGTCCCAGCGAGCCAGGTTAGGAGCGATGCCAAGCATGAAGTGACGGAGGTCGTAGATGGTTCCTGAGCCAGTATCATACAAGGGCAGCATGGCTTTAAGAGATTCCATGCCACGCTCATACAAGGACCTTGCTTCTTTTCCGAGTTTTTCCCCTGCAGTTTCTTTTAAGTCATACAGCCCAATTAAAGAATACATAAAGCCATTTAAAACAAAAGAGCTAGGTGTGGTTGGATATTCTTCATACCAGTCATGTTTATTCATAAACACAGCTTTAACTCCATGCTGCTCAGATAGAAACTTATAAGGGGCTGTTGCCCTTAAAGCTGAATTAAGGAATATATGGTCTTTTGTTAACAAATATGCCCTCACTAATGTAGAAATGGCTTGCCCTTGGGCCATGGCAGAATACCATCCTGGCTCTAAAGACTTGAACCCTTCCCCTAACTTACGGGTCACCATAATTGGCCAGCCACCTTTCTCATCCTGGTTCCTTACCAGCCAATCACTAGCAGCAAAAAATGCGGCCATGTGGGCAGTGGTGGAGATGGTAATGTTGTCGAGGAATCCCTTCCCTTTTGCAATCAACCTAACCACCTTCTTGGGCATTATTTTGGTTGGCTTCACGGCTTTTGTGTTGGAAAGACCCACTCCTTTCCTGAGGTCAGTGACCAGATCCCTGGTAACTGTGCTCCATGAAGTTCTGGGCCCAATGCCGTAGTATATATTTCTTTCTTTAAAAGCAATTAGCTGAGCATTTGAGACATAATGTATAGTGAAGAGCTGATTCTTTTCTGTGGTCTCTAGAACCACGGACACACTTCCATTAGTCAAGAACTTGAGGTCGAATGAAATAATGAAATCTTTTGTGTTTCCCAGTTGCAAGGATACACCTTCACTGGTTTCTGTAGGAGAGAATATACCAACAAAGGCTGGTTAGAATAAAAGCACTTTTGTATTTGAAATTTAACTGCAATTCATCCTTGACAACCCTGACCACACAAAATTAACACTTCAATATTTTTGGTATTAGATTATTCATAATTTCCTTTTTTACCAAATTAACTAAAAACAAATGACAGAATTGGTGAGTTCATGATGGCTTGTGAGCATCAGTACAAAGCTCTTACCTTTTTCCCTGTCTGGTTTATAGTAGAGGATTAATAGCAAATGGCCAAGGCATTGTTGATAAAAATTGCCTTTCCTAAATCTAGTGTTAGCTGATCAGTAATCAATGACTATTCTAGTACACCTATTCTGCGAACAGAAAAAAAAAAAAAAACAGCCAAAAGCTGGCTCAGCACATAATATTGCAAGAAAGAGGCTAGAAAAAATAATTATACATGAATTTTAAATTGTTTAATGAACATTTCATATGTACTTACGATGTTCTAAGTGCTTTACACCTGTTTACTCATTTAATCCCCTGAACAATCACAAGAGTAGGTGCTATTATTACTCGTACTTTATGGATGAGGAACTGAGACACAAGGAAGTAACTTGCCCAAGGTACAAGACTTGAACCCAGGTTGCCTAGTCTGGTTCTACAATACATTATTGATTTGATTTTGAAAATGATAGATTTGGTTTCACAGACTTGCTAGAATTACTAATAAAAATTCTGGAAATTAAGCAACAGGCTCATGTGTACAACAAAAAGTGAGAGAATGGTGGGGTGTGCAAGGGTAAAGCACAGGCTTTGGAGTTAAAAAACCTCAGATTTGAATTTTTGTTCTACCTCTAGCTTTGAGAAGTCTGGCAAGATGCACCTCTTTGAGCCGCAGTTTCTTCACATGTTAAATAGTGATAACATTACCTTGCAGGGTAATTGCCAGGACTTTAAAAAAGATAATGGAGTGGAATATAGTAATAAATGAAAGTTATTATTATTATTCTGGAATCACTAGCTTCAGAGGCTAATAAAATAGTTAAAGCTGTTTTATCTCACAATTTTTTTTTCTTTTTGAGACAGAGTCTTGCTTTGTCACCCAGGCTGGAGTGCAGTGGCGCAATCTTGGCACACTGCAACCTCCACGTCCCGCGTTCAAGCAATTCTCTGGTCTCAGCCTCCTGAGTAGCTGAGATTACAGGTGTACACCATCATGCCTGGCCAATTTTTGTATTTTTTTAGTAGAGACAGGGTTTCACAATGTCGGCCAAGCTAGTCTCAAACTCGTGACCTCGTGATCTACCCGGCTCAGCCTCCCAAAATGTTGGAATTACAGGCGTGAGCCACCATGCCCGGCCTCTGACAAATTATTAAAGAGGAAATTTCTCTTGAATATTTATAGTATTAATAGTGGCTAATTCCCAGAAAGATGACTTTTTGAATACTGCTCATCTAGATCTACCAAGAAACTGAGCATATTAAAATAGCAGCAGCAACAAGAACAAAAATATATGTAGTACACATTTAAAAATATTAGAGGGAAATATGAGTATCTTGATCTTTCCACAGCTTAAATGTCCACAGTGCATTCACATGTATTATCTCATTTGATACTTAATCTTCTGAGGCTGGTAGGGCAGGAATTATTATTATTACGTCTCCATTTTAGAGATGAAGACATGCAGGCTTTGCCAGGTTAAATGGTTTGCCAGATGCCAAAAGCTAATTAGTGGTAGAGAAGGGACTAGAATCCAGGTTTCCTGGACTCAAGTTTAGACTGTGAAAAAGACAAATGATATTGGAAATGGTATTCTTATGAATATTCAAGAGAAGGGTTCTCCTAGGCGCAGCCATAGAAGCAGATCTCTGCTTTGCAGAATCCTTGAAAAAATCTTTAGTGTGTTACCAGGAGCAAAGAGCAGAAATGTGACCTGGGCCGGGCACAGCTGCTCACACCCAGCACTTTGGGAGGCCAAGGCAGGGGTCTGCTTGAAGCAAGGAGCTTGAGACAAGTCTGGGCAAGAAAGTGAGACCCTAACTCTACAAAAAATACAATAAAATAGCCAAGTGCAGTGGCATGTGTCTGTCATCCTAGGTACTTGGGAGGTTAAGGTGGGAGGATTGCTTGAGCCCAGGAGTTTGAGGCTGCAGTGAGCTATGATCATACTACTGCACTGTTGTCTGGGTGACAGAATAAGACTGTCTCTTTAAAAAGAAAAAAGAAATAAATAAAGGGAAAAAGAAATGTGAACTGATGATAGTGTACACTTGGAGGGCATCAGTATGCTGAGTTGATCATTTAACTCTTGCAACACTGGACTCTAGCAGTATGGTTATATTTGGCCCAAAGCTCTTAATTACTTCATTGGATAGAACAGACAATTTTGAAAGATGTATCAAGAATGAGAACAGCCTGATAAACTTATGCATCAAACAATGCATCAAACAATTTCTATTAAGTCACTCAAGACTTAATAGAAAAACTGATTTCAGAAGTAAACTTCTAATACAGTAAAATTCCATTTTTATCTGGCAAAATGTCAACATGTACTCTCTCTCTTAACTAGCATTTTTCTGCATTTATAGTAAAATGGGATCTGAAGTTCAAGACAACATTCCTGAAACACTGCAGGATTCTGAATTGACATATGAACCACTCAAGATTAAATTATATTCAGTGGAGCAGACTATCTTGAATGCTACTTATTTTTTCATTCTCATCAGATGGGATTATTATCTATGACATCTATTCTGGCCAAACTGGATAACAATGACCCATCTTTAGAAGTCCAAATGTGAGGAAGCAGAAAGAGTACCTATTTCCTCTGAAAATTTCAACTTTATTTACACAAATTTAATGAAATGACATGGTTTAATCATTCACTTTATGTCTTCATATAGCAAATCAGTCCAAAGAACTCAGTCATGAACGACGTCAGGGGATGTAACCTTTTAAAAAGCCAATTTATTAATTTCCCTAAAACCTTAACACCAGCAGAGGGGGTTACTGAGTCATCTAGGAGAAGTGACAGATGTCACAATTCTCAATTTAAATTAACCAACCAACAATTATAATCTTTACAACAATCCCATAAGTCTTTTAATTCCCATTTATAGATATACAGAGAGGTTAATTAACCTGCTGGCATCATTCAGGAGGATCTGAATGGTAGCAAATGGGATGGTGGCAACCAGTTTGGCAATATACCAGGTAAGGTTCTGAGCTCTACTGGAAGTACTATGCTATCTGAAGATTCCTCCTACAAATCTAATAGAAAGTTTTGGTCTTTTTATTGTTTGAAATCCATGACTCATCCTCTCTCTGATCAGTTATTCCCAGGAGTTACTATAACTGTTTATTTTTGGTATATGCGACATATGTATATGCACTTTAAGCAATAAAGGATGGTCAACATTTAAGAATAGTTTTGACACTGGTCTTAGCAATGATTGTTTAGATTTGATACAAAAGCACAGGCAAAAGGGGCACAGAGAAGTAGGACTATATCAAACTAAAAAGCTTTTGCACAGCAAGGGAAACAATCAAAATGCAAAGCAACCTACAGAATAAGAGAGAATATGTACAAACATATATCTGATAAGAAGCTAATATCCAAAATCTATCAGGAAATTATACAACCAAACAGCGGAAAAAAAAAAAAAAAAAAGAAAAAAATCTGATTAAAAAATAAGCAAATGATCTGAAGAGACACTTTTTCAAAGAAGATATACAAGGGGCCAAAAGGTATATAAAAAGGTGCTCAACAACATCAGTCACCAGAGAAATAAATGCAAAGCAAAACCACAATGATATATCATCACCTTACACCTGTTGAGATGACAAAAACGGAAGAGATAAGTACTGGTGAGGGTGTGGTGAAAGGGGAACCCTTGTTTAAATGGAAAGGTAAATTGGCATAGCAATTATGGGAAACAGTATGGAGGTTCCTCAAAAAATTAAAAATAGAACTACCATATGATTCAGCAATCCCACTTCCTGGTGTATACCCCAAGGAAATTAAACCAATTATCTCAAAAAGATATCTGCACACCCATGTTATTTGCAGCATTATTCGCAATAGCCAAGGCATAGGAGTAACCTAAGTGTCTAGTATGGATAAAGAAAATATGGTGTGTGTGTGTGTATATATATACACACACACATATACATACATAATGGAACATGAGCCATAACAAAGAAGGAAATCCTGCCATTTGTGACAACACAGATGAGCCTTGAGGGTGTTATGTTACGTGTGACAAGTCAGAGAAAGATACTGTATGATCTCATTTATATGTGGACTCCAAAACAACTGAACTCACATAAACAGTGGAATGGTGGTTGTCAGGCTAGGGAGTGGGAAAAATGGGGAGGTGCTGGTCAAAGGGTACAAACTTCAGTTATAAGATAAATAAGTTCTAGGAGTCTAATGTATAGCATGATGACTACAGCTTATAATACTGTATTATATACCTGAAATGTGCTAAGATGTTTCTTAAATGTTCTCACCACCACCACCATACAAAGAAAGGTAACTATGAGGTGATGGATGTGTCAACTAATTTAATTATGATAATAATTTCACAATATATATATATGTGTATCAAAGCATCACATTACTTACATTTGCCAGTTATACCTCAATAAAGCTGGGGAAAAAATAGCCTTTACATCAGTGTTTCATATCCAACAAAAACTGTTATCAACCCATTCATTTAATCAACAGATTTACTATGTAGCATGAGAAGACGCCCTACTCAAAATCTTGAGAAACACCAAGAGAAAGAAGAATCAGGCAGAAGAAGAAAAGCTCCCAAGAAGCCTGAGCAAGAATGGCTACAGAGATAGGAGAAAGTGAGGTCATGGAAATCAAATAAAAAGAGGGCTTGGGGAAAGGGAAAGCTCATTTATTCCATTTTAAAATTAGAAAAAGGAATAAAACATTATTCAACAAATAAAACAACAAAAATATGCTGCAGAACCATATTACATGACTCTTTACTCTTTGATTTTATCTCCTTTCAGAAAAAAAATTCAAGGCCAAGAAAGAAAAAAAAGGGCCAACAGCATTCAGCTTGTGGTCCTCCAGGGTCTCAACTCACTTAGGCCTATGCTTTTAGGCACAAGTTCCAATTTCCTCTTAATGGTGATTCTCTGAATTTATCTCCCATAAGGTCTATATCCTCCCAAAAGCCTCATTTCTCATACCTGTGCTTCAATAAAATAGTCTCAACACTTTGATTCCCTTCTCCTGCTCTGTTCTGAGCAATAACTCCCATGTAACTCCACCTCACCTTCCCTCATACCCTTATAGTATGCAACTGCTGGTTGAGCATCCTTAGTTCAAAAATCGGAAATCTGAAATGCTCCAAAATCCAAAACTTTTTGAAAGCTAACATGATGCCACAAGTGGAAAATTCCACATCTGCCCTCATGATGGGTCGCATATATTATTAAAAATATTATAAAAAGCTACCCTCAGGCTACGTATATAGCATATAAAAGAATTTTGTGTTTAGACTGGGTCCTATCCCCAGGATTTTATTATGTATATCTAAATATTCCAAAATCTGAAACACTTCTACTCCCAAGCATTTCAGACACTGTGTGTGCATGTACTCAACCTGTACATGCACACACAGAATTATCCAAGTGTGCATTCCATCTCCAGCTAGCACACTTCCAGCAACAGGGAGCTCCAACTTAGAATAGCTATGTCCCACTCACAGAGTGGCTGCTACAGAGTTCTCTCCTCTATATACTTAAAACCATCTTAGGAGGTAGTTTTATCTCCAGCTATTGGCTACAGAATGAGGGCCTACGGTGAGGATCCCTCACTTAAGATGTGGGAACCTATCTTTTGTATTACTCAGAGCAGCCAAAACTGCACAATGAAATCTGTTGCTCTAAATAGAACAGAGTTCAAAAGACTCGTGGAAAACCATCCAGTCACTCAAGATGATCAAGGTGAGGGCTGCTGATTCTACCCTAATCCAGAAAACCATTATTAACTATCGCAAAAATAAGTTTCTTGAGGGTATCCAAAAGTTCTTTTGCATAGTCTAATCATTTCCTGTTACAATAACCTCTTAGGTAACACAAGCTAAATATTCTTAAATTTCCTTGTACCTTATCACTCAGCTAAACCTGTTATTTTACAATAAGCAAAGATGCTCTGTGTACCAGAATATTACAACATGCCATGGGGGAAAAGGAGTTCTAGTCACAGAATAAAAATTAAACGTCACCCATTATTTGCACTGCATTCAGTACTCAAAAATCCATTACTTAAGGCTATCTAGAATGAGCAGGCTTGTATTGCGGCTTTCAGGGTCTGTAAATTACACAGTTATCAATGAAGGACAAGGAGAAAATACAAAAGAGGTCTTATAACCTTTCCTCTCTTTTTATTTATCAACTGCAAGGTTGGTGGGAAGGTGGAACAAATTTTGTACTTGATAACATTACCCCATAGAGAATTAAGCCTAAGGTGCTAACTAAAATTATTTCATTGTCTTCTTAAGTAACGGACTCATTAATTCTCATCGATATTGATTAATGCAGGAAAATGCGTTACATTCTAATTAATGAGACTGTCTTAGTAAAAGGGGAAATGTTGTATAAAGTTAATTTGATTTTGTAAATTATTTTATTAAGGAAAATGGTTTTACATGAAGTTTGAGATAATCTAGTACATTAACAAAATCCAATACGGGAAACAGGCCTCTTCAGTAATGCTGTATTATCCTGAAAAAATTAAAAGCTATTGGCAAAAAATAATCAAAAGAAAGGATGGCTTTGAAACCATTCTATTTACTGCAAAAGTTTAAAAATTAAACTACACTGGACTGAAATATTAAATGGAGGAATTTCATTCCTATTGGATATAGACCCCTGGAGGCAGGTACACATTTTACAGTAATCTGGAGCTTAACATTCAATCTATGGCTTGGCTCTTTACATAGTAAATATTCATTTTTATAACCTTGACGTTTCAGCTATATCTTTTTTAGGGATTTCACTGGGGTGACACCATTTGTTGCTTTATATATGTAATATAAGGGGTCTGCTTAATGGTTTTTTTCTTTTTAAACCATATCAAAAACTTAAGGGAACATCAGGGTCCCACAAATCAACATAAAATTAGCAGGCACACGTAATATAGAACTTACCTGGTGCAATAAACTGTTTGACATTGGTTAATTTAGACTTATCAGCCACATTAGCCATAAAGCAGCCCTTCGGCACAGTCCAGTCATTAGGCTTGCTGTTTTTGTCTCTGTCTTCTGCTGTTTCATATACCTCTGTGTGAGGAGGTTTCTCAGTTAGATTCTTGCTGTAATGACTTAACCCATACTGTGCAATCTGGATTGGATAGAAATAGCCTTGAGGTCCCCATTGTGTAGATAATGGCACACCTATAAAATAAAGAAACAAAATGAATAATCATATCCAGACATTTACAAGCATATTCCTAATAACACTCCTCGCTGATTTACTTCTGGGGAATCTTACAGGTTTATCAGGATGTTTTGAGCTTCCTTATAATACTGCTCTCATAATGACCAGATCTAGTACCAAATTAACCAGATATGAAAAACAAAAATTAAGTAAGTATTCATTCCCTCTCATTCATTATTTGTTAATAAACAGTGAGTGCAATGCTATAAATTACCTTTTAAGGACTGGCTTCTTATGTGAGTTACTTTTGCTTATGGCTACAGATGTCATGTTTCAGAATCCTGTTTCATACATTCAAATTCTGCACTATCTAGATGCATGTAGTTAATGTCATCACAGAACTTTCTTAAACATTTATACTTATCAAGTTATTACACACTCATCTTTCCCTCCAATGTCAAAGTGTGGTCTACTAAGTATGTTATCTGATGGTTTAAGTATTTGCTTAAGGAGCCAGTTGTGGTGGGGCTCGGTGGTTCACGCCTGTAATCCTAGCACTTTGGGAGGCTGAGGTGGATGGACTACCTGAGCTCAGGAGTTCAAGACCAGCCTGGGCAACACAGTGAAACCCTGTCTCTACTAAAATACAAAAATTAGCTGGGTGTGGTGGCAGGCGCCTGTAATCCCAGCTACTCAGGAGGCTGACACAGAAGAATTGCTTGAACCCAGGAGGCGGAGGTTGCAGTGAGCTGAGATTGCGCCACTGCACTCCAGCCTGGGTGACCGAGCGAGACTTGGTCTCAAAAAAAAAAAAAAAAAGAAGCCAGTTGTGACTTGGTAATTTAAAATGTAAACACAGCTTAAAATTCTTTTTTCTATCTTTCCTGTTACAATGTAATTCTTAAGAATAAGAAGTGTTTTTTAAAACACGAATTTAGGTTGTATATTTAACCACAGATTCTTGAAATAATTCATTAATGGATTACCTTTTGTAAAGTTCTAAGTACAACTTTTAAATGTTTGGTATTAGTGTTTATCTTAGTAATTTCCTAGATAGGAGCCACAAATACTACAGTTACACAATATTGTATTGTTGAATCATGTATGTATTGAGAGAGAAATTATCTGTAGTTTTAAAATTACTAAGAATCTGATAAGCACAGCAGAGACTGGGAATCTACAAAATTTTATGTGTTTTGTTGTAGTTTCAAAACAATGTTTACAGAATTAGGGTAGGCTACAGATAAGCTTTTTAATATTTCTATCTTTCCTCCAAGAGGGAGATCCCCTCTGCCTGCAATTCAAATTGAAAAAAAGAAAGAAAGAAAAAAGAAAGTACAGGTGAAAAGCTAATCATAATCTGGTGTGGTAAGTACCTTTCTAAACATAAAGAGGTACAAAGATCCAAAAACACCCCATAAGTTTAGTAAATGGAACTAAAAACTTCTAAAACCAACAAATCATAAGTAAAATAAAAAGACAACCAAATTGAAGAAATATCTTTTGAGTATTGCTACCATTACTATATAAGTTCACACAAATACATTTTTTAAAAACTCCACTTATCACATTAGAAAAAGAGGTAAAGAACATGAAAATATGGCAAGAAGTATAAGAAAAAGATATCTGACCTCACTAGTTGTTAAAGAGAGAAAATTATAATATCCCTTTGTAACCAACAGATGAAAAAATAATGTTCCATGATGGCAAGAGTTGGCTGATAAGGGCACCCTCATACTCTGCTACTGGAAATATGAGCAAGTTCCACCTTTCTGAAAAACAGCTGGAAAAACAGTTTGAAGGTTTGGCAGTTTATTTGTCATGGCAGTTAATTGTATTCTCAGAACAGGAATATACTACACTGAGAATAAAATTAAAATAGCAAATAAAGATCAACAATGAAAATCTGTAAGATTTATAATAGCAAAAAAAATGGAAATGTAGTCCCTTTGTGCAATCAAATATCAGATTTTATTCTCTCGATCCTAATTTATTATACATTTAAAAATAACTAAAAGAATATAACTGCATTGTTTGTAATACAAAGAAGGGATAAATGCTTGAGGTGATGAATACCCTATTAACCCTGATGTGATGATTATTACACATTGCATGCCTGTATAAAAAAAATCTCATATACCCATAAATACATATACCTACTATGTACACACAATAATTACAATAAAACATAAATTAAAAAATATAAAAAACCTGGAAATGACCTAAGTATACAACTAAAGAGAAGGGATCTTATACATTATGTATATCATGGCATGCTGTTACCACAAATATTAGTAGTTATTAAAATGTTCAATAAATATTCGATAAGGGGAAATGGTCACAGCATGTTAGGTAGAAAATATCAGAATACAAAATTGACCATACAGTATGATCTGCAGCAATAAAAAAGAATGAGATCATGTTCTTTGCAGAAATATGGATGGAGCTGGAGGCCATTATCCTTAGCAAACCAACGCAGGAATGGAAAACCAAATACTGCATGTTCTTGCTTCTAAGTGAGAGCTAAATGATGAGAACACATGGACACATAGAGGGGAACAACACACACTAGGCCTACTGATGGAGGGTAAGTGGCGAGCAAGGATCAGAAAACTAACTGATGGGGTCTAGGCTTAATATCTGGGTAACAAAATAATCTGTAAAACGAACCTCCATGACATGAGTTTACCTATAACAAACCTGCACATATACTCCTAAACTTAAAAGTTAAAATAAAATAAAATCACAATATATTTCTACAGCAACAGAAAGAAAAAAATCAAAATATTAATAATGGTTATGGGTACTTTTTACTTTTTTATTTTAGAATCTAGGCACCTATTACTTTTATGCATTAAAAAAATTGCTAAAAAAAAGGCTTGACTATGAATATCTCTGAAATCTCTTACTCTCCTGAATCACCATATAGCAAATATCATTACAATTATGCTAATACGTATGTCTAAGTACAAAGACCTCCAGAGAATATACAAAAATAATAATAATTATATTGAGGTGAAGACTATAGGTGAATCTGCTTCTCTCTTCTAAACATTTGGCAAAGATACTGGCCAGGCACAGTGCCTCATGTCTGTAATTCCAGCACTTTAGGAGGGTAAGGCAGGAGGATTGCTTGAGTCCAGGAATTCGAGACAAGCCTGGACAACACAGTGAGACATTGTCTTTACAATAAATAAATTTTAAAAAATTAGTTGGGCATGGTGGAGCATCCCCATGGTCCCAGCTACTTGGAAGGCTGAGATGGGAGGATCACTTGAGCCTGGGAGATCTAGACTGCAGTGAGCCATGACAGTGTCACTCCAGGCCTAGGTGACAGCGCAAGATTCTGTCTCAAAGAAAGAGAAAAATATATTATGAAAAATTTATATAAGTAGTAAAAACAAAGGAAAAAACTCCTGCATCAGAATATATAAATTCCAACTTCCAATCTGATGAATAAATACACCATTAACTTCACAGACATGGGTGGGCTATAATCCTTTGGTCTGTGGGAGTCTGAAAACATCCACATGGTCACCAAGTGAGCACAAACTACTTTCCTGAGTGAAAAAATATATTTAGTTAAAAGCTAGTTTCAATACAGATTTTAAAATATTAAGATCTTAAATCACTTTATAACAAAATGAGGAAAATAAAACCCAAACCAAGAAATCTCAAAACATATTAAGCTTATTAAAGCCAAATTCAATTTGGCTTTCTGGTTTGAAAAGCAAATTCCAAAGCATATTAATTGTATCCACAAGGAACCCATACTGCCCCAGGTTTCAAAGACAATGAAAAACAGTATGTGATAGACTACAGGAGTTCAGCATAAGTTCAGAGAAGAAGCATCTATGTGTTGTCTTGTTTTGAAGACTTGAAACCTCCTTCCAGAGATGACACCTGGCTAATTAGGTAACCAGACTGCACTGGTACATTGATGGGTCCACTGGATGGTCTCTCTCCTTTTCCCATCTCTCATAGGATTCTAGCTATATATTTTAATGCAAAATTCTGGAGAGGCAGTGCTTTTACCTTACTGGTGAGAATTTTAGATTCTGAGTTAATAAAATAATTCTATTTGCTTAGGTATGGTCTCATTGCAGCCCTTAAGTCATAGCATCTTGAAAGTTGCCCTAGGTTCAGATTTAACCTGTTCCTCCCTGCTACATTAGAGTGATGAAAGGTCTTTTGACAGTAAGCTATGTACTTGTTGTATAATTAACAAATTTTCTTATTCCTCAACACAACCAGGCTTGAAAAATGCAAGTGAAGCAGACAGATACCAACCTTCAACCCCACTTATGCACTTGACTCTGTCTCGGACTTCCACATTGTAGCCTTCAAAAGACATAAACACACCATCGGGATGATAGGGGGCTCTCTGTGCATAGACTTTGGAATAGCTATGAGAGAATTCAAACCGATCATAGCCATCATACTGAACCACCTTTCCATAAACATCAAAATATTTCTCAACCCAAGTGAAAGGAAGAAAGACTTCAGTCCCCTCTCGTCTCCCTTTAATTGTGTGTTCATCATTTATGAGACAGTCAATTTCTTCATATTTGAGCCCTAACACCTTACTTCCCACATTGCTATTGAAGCCCCCAACAACGGGGGGTGCTTTCTGCTGTTCCTGAGGGAACGCTTCCTCAGACTGTTGTCTGGCCACGTGGTTCCCATAGTTGTTACTCTCAGATGCTGCCGCCCTTTTTTCTAATCCATCCGCTCTGAAGCCACTACCCAGATGCCGTGGAAACTGGATCGCTTTGTCGCTGGAACACTTATTCCACAGAAGTACTGTGACCAGGGTGAAGAGTGCGCAGATAATAATCAAAGTCTTATAGTTGACCCGAGCTGCCAAGCAACGCATATTCAGAGCATACCTACGGAGGCAAGAAGAAAAAAAGTCATGTAAAGAGGTACTATTGACATTTCATAGGATAAAGTTTTTTTTTTTTTTTTTTTTTTTTGCTTTTTTTTAATGTTGAGCAACTGTATTAGGACAGTTTTGTATCGAATTTAAAATTTCTAACTCAAACTTTTCAACACAAAGAAAAGGTAAGAGGTGTTTCCTCCTTTTGGTGAAATCCTTAGAATAAGCTTCTAAAGCAGAGATGTTCAAACTTTCTTAGTTTGTGGCTCCCTTGGTATCTCAGTAATTTTTCACAATGCCCCCTAAACCAAAAGAAATAGTTAACACAGTTTGAGTATGCTGTACCCAAAGTGCTTGGGACCAGAAGGGTTTTGAATTCTGGATTTTTTTAAGATTTGGGAATATCTGTATTACACTTAACAGTTCAGCATCCCAAATCTAAACTCTGAAATGCTTCTCTGAGTATTTCCTTAGAACATCATGTTGATGCTCAAAAAGTTTTTGATTTTGAAGCATTTTTTATTTTGGATTTCTGAACTTGGGATGCTCAACATGTAGTTTCATTTATTAAATAGTCAGGGCCAAATAACTACTTATGTACAAGCATTTATGTCCTAACATCTTAGTAGCTATCTGAAAAAACATAGTAGACCTTTTCAAGGAAAACACCAACATCCATGTTGCTAAATCCAACAGTGAATTTTTAGTGCTCATCCTACTTGACCTCTTAACGGCATAAAATAGTCAATGATTCTTTCCTTCCTGAAACATTTTCTTCCCATGGTTTCTAGGGCACCATTCTCTCTTGGTTCTCCTATTATCTCATTAGCTGTTCTTCCTCAGTCGTCTTTGAGTCTTCCTTTTCATCTCCCTAATTCTTAAATGTACGAGTACCTTAGGGTCTCAGTCTTTTGACTTCTTTATCCCTGTTCACTTTGATCTCACCCAATCTCATGCCTTTAAATACCAGGCCGACTATCCCCAAATTTTCTCACCAGGCCAGACCTTTCTTCAGAGCTGGATACATATATTCAGATACATATATCTTTGGATATATATACATATATATATATATATAAAATCTCTAAATACATATATCTTTATTTAGAGGTCAAATAAATTTCTGAAATAACACATGAAACTTAACTCCCAATGTCTTCCTCAATCTGTTCCTCCCTTCCTACTGCTCAGGCTAAAAATCTCAATCCTTTCTTATTCACTCAATATCTAATACATCAGGAAATTCTCTTGGCTCTGCCTTCAAACTATACCCAGAATCTGACCTCTTTTAACCAACTACATTGTTACTACCATGTCAGAAACCACTGTTGTCTCTTACCTGGAACACAGCAGGGCTATTCAAATTGTTCTCTCTCTTTCTACCCTTACCCTACTACTCCACCCTCAAGTCTATTCTCAACACAGCAGTCAGAATGATGCTCTTAAATTTAAGTCAGATCATGTCATTCCAGTCCTGATGGGAGGAAAATCTGATGCTGTCACTCCTTCTGGCCATATGGTCTATCAGCTTGTTGTGATCACAATGCAAGTAGTCCTGGGTCACCTATTGCTGGGATGATTGGGAAACATGGGAAATTATGAATAGTTCTATGTATAATATAGGATACGTTTCAGCCTGCTGAGAGAAAAGGGAGTCGTTTCATTGCCGTTTGCTATAGTAGCTCTGTAATTGATTGTATGGTGTGAATCAACTACTAATTTTATTGTTGTTAATCCCCCCCTTCTCGTTTTCTCCTCAATCCTTTTGGCATCAATGAGATATTTTTAAAAATCAAGTGCTAAATTTCTGTTTCTCAAGAAGCTGGTGGTGAATGTGTAATTCATTCATTTCTTTTACTTCCAAAGGAAGCAAACTTTGCACCCTTCTGTGTCTGAAAACAATTGTATTCTGCTCTTACCCTTGATTAACAGTTTGGCAGGATATTGAATCCATGGTTGCATACTATTTTCTTTCTAAATGTTGTAGGCAATATTTGCTCTTAAATCATTAAGAGTTATTAATAAGGGTTTTGACTTCAGTCTCTTGTTACTACGTGTGTGATTTCTTTCTGGGTCTTTGTTTATCCTAGGAATTCCGCAGTTTTGAGATATGTCACAGTGTCATGTTTGATTCTCTATTTCAGCGCTTGGTGTGTCCATGCAACTGAAAAACTTGTGTCCTCCTGTTCTTGTTTAATGGATATAGTAGCTTCTTGGATCTCTGAATATATTAGATGACTTCTTTTTTAAAAAAATAAAGTTCTTTCTGATTAGTTTTACTTTTTACACTGGCAATTTTCCTGGTTATTTAGTCTTTCATGCCATTAGTTTTTTCCACCATGCCTGATGATCTTTGGTTACTCATTCACATTTAGGAGAGAATGACTCATTAAGCCAACATAGATTTCCTGTGTTATTTTGAAGATAGTCTGATTTTGGCTATATTATTCCCCTGGAGGGGATAAAAAGAGGGAGCTCTGTGTGGGCTGGACATAAGCTGACTGGCAGTGTTCCTACAGGGTGAGTGGGTGGGTAGCCAGCAGACCTTTCAAATGCCAGAAAGAGGATGGTGTTTTCTCTTTTGTTACATGAACACAGCACTCACTTTAGAAGCCTTCGTCTTTCTCATGCTCTCTAAAGAAAATCTGCCTAGTGTTTGCCTGGGATTCTTGCCAGCTATCTGTATCCAAGTGCAGGGGTGAGAGAGGTATGAGGAGGTAAGGAAAGGGTATAGTTGGGCCTGCTGGTACTCAAATAGAGATCCTGAAATCAGTTCAACGATCATCTTTGGGTAGTCCCTCTATTTATGATTACTGGTTTCTTCATTTCTCGTTTTTAGACATTTTATTTTGATGGGGCATCAGAAGGGAAAGGAGGTGAATACAAATTTTAAGAGCTGGAAACCCAGTAATACATTTTTAACCCTATTAACTGAGAATAATTCATTTCATCATCTGCATTATTACTTTGAAAAAATGTGTTGAATGCTAAAAAAATCAAAGCGTGTAACAAGCAAAACTTTAGAAATCATATAAATTAAGGATTTCCTTATATTGTAGTGGGGGCAAACTGATAACACTAAATGGTGCTTATTTTTTTTTAAATCCTTCATTAAAAACACTTATATGTCAACAGCTAAGTAATCTGTCAGCTATGCCTAACATTTTAACCAATTAAAATAGAAACAGAAAGTTTTTATCCTATCTTTGAGAAGCACCCTTCCTCCACTACTCGAATGACAGTAACCTTGCTTATGGAGCAAGGCTGCTGATATAGTTTGGATATTTGTCCCCACCCAAATCTCATGTTGAAATGTAATCCCCAGCGTTGGAAGTGAGATCTGGTGGGAGGTGTTTGGATCATCGGGAGTGCATCCTTCTTGACTGCCTTAGTGCCATCCCTTTGGTGATGAATGAGTTCACATGAGATCTGGTTGTTTAAAAGTATGTGGTACCTTGTTTACACTTCCTTGGCTCCTGCCCTAGCCACGTGACCTGTCTGCTCTTGCTCTGCCTTTTGTCATGAGTAAAAGTTCTGTGAGGCCTCCCCAGAAGCTGAGCAGATGCTGGTACCATGCCTGTATAGCCTGAAGAACGGTGAGCCAATTAAACCTTTTTTTAAAAAAATAAATTACCCAGTCTCAGGCATTCCTGTATAACAATGCAAGAACAGACTAACACAGCTACCAATATGACAAACCACATGATGGGAAAGTAAAGAAAAATAAAATTTAAAAACTTTCAATAATCCTTATGTCCAGGTTTTACTGTCTGATGCCATTCGTTACTAAAGGCACTCAGGGCTTCTTAAAGAAATGAGTAAGCCCAGGACTAGGGATGGGACACCTTGCCACACCAGAAAACAAATTTTCAACTACCAATGAGATCAAAATCTAGGGTGTCAAAAAGCAGACTGAAACACACTGAAGCAATACAAATCCATGTATCTACAATAATATTTAAAAAGGAGAAATACAACAAAAAATTTATATAATCTTCTGAGCTGATGAAAATTGGCAACTGAGTAAAAAAAAATTATTTATCTTGTCTTTGCAGGAGCAACTATATTTCGGAACAAATCAATAACCCTAGTCAATAAAGTACTCCATTTGACAAAAGGCTATCTAATAATAAGAAGTAAAATTAAAAAAGAAATAGAAAATTAGTATTATGTAATTCCTCATGAAATTACAGATCCAGGCAAGTGCTAAATGCAGGTATGTGTTTGCCATGACCTAGAGATTCATACTGTGCAAAGTAACACCAAATACATTATTTTCTAGTTGAAAGAAGAAAAAGATTAAACTTGCCAGGGAAAGGATCAGATAGTCATATCCTAATTTGGTGGTCAACTTCAGTCTCCTTAACTGTGACCCATCCAGATGCTGTCTCCTGATAAGTCATAATAAGAAATACACCATTTATCATATATTCCAGCCCAGAGTGTTTCACTTGGATCTCTCAGGACTTAAAATTTAATCTCTGGCTAACAGGAAATACAAAGGATAGAGGAACAAGTTAAAGGAGGAAGCAATTAGACACATCTGGAAGGTAAGACATTCTGTAGAACAGCTGGTCCTGTCTTCTCAATTCAATTAGTGATATCAAAAGAAAAAAGAAAGGGCTGGGTTTTTTTTGTTTGTTTTTTTTTTAAGAGACTTAGGTACCTAATAACCAGATGTGAAACTTGGTCCTAGGCTGAGAAATTCAACAATGGACTTGATAAAATGGAAGGATATTGAAATGAAGATTGTTAACTGAAAAAAAACAGATTATAAATAGCACATTTAGTATAATCTTGTTTTAAGTAAACAATGTATATGTACATCTTTATTTTTCTAATTTTCCATGATTGTGCTTACTTTTTTTTTTAAAACTATAAAAAATGGCATGTGCCTGAAGTCCCAGTTACTTGGGACTGGGGTAGGAGGATCACTCACGCCTAGGAGTTCTGGGCTACCGGGTGCTATGCCACTCAGGTGTCCACATTAAGTTTGGCATCAATATGATG